ACTGGCGGCCAGGACCCGGTCATTGACATGGCGAGGAGCCAATAGCGGCGTGGGTAGGGAGTGTGCGCGCGTGCCACCTACCCGGAAATACAAAATCATGTAAATATATGTGATTTTGCGCATCCCTGCCACCCTGTAGAAGTACTTCTGCTATAGGGCGGTTGGGAAGCGGTTAAGAATGCCAGGACATTTCTGCTAAAGCCAAGTCATTTAATTTCAGCCTGACCACATGAGGTATTTAAAGCTGCACTCCAGGCACAAAAACCTTCATTTAAATGGAGCGCCCTCCTGGATAGGTGCTAGGATTATTTAGATTTAGTGCTGGCTCACTGTGTTTGGTGGCGCTGTGTATATTTTTGTCAGGTAAATTTAGCTTGCCTTGCTGTAATCAGCGTGGTTGCAACTGACTAGTTAGGCCTGCTCAGTGTTTTCAGCAGCTGCCAGTCTGATAGCTCCTTCTGTTTTTCAGGAAGCTGTGAGAACTTTCAGGATCTTAGGTGTGGAGTTATGCAGATGGTAGTATGTATATTTATACAGCCCTGGCCAATCCCAGGGAGCTCAGCCCTGATGGAATGCTGGGTAACAGTATATATACTCTGGGCACACTGAGCTCTGGGTCTTTTCCAGTAGGAGAGGAACACAGCTAAAAGGGGACAGTTTGCTCCCCTAGAGTATTCTGACATGTGCTCAGTGTTCAATAGGCCTCAGGTGGGCAACCTGAGGGCCTGGATTCTGAAGATACTAATGCAGGCCATAGATGGGTTGAAAATCGGCCGATTTTTCGGCCGAAAAATAAAATCGGCCGGTTTTCGGATCGTTAGTGGGCTATTTGTTCGGCCGTTTTTCGGTATTTTGGCAGATTTTTTTTTTCTGTAAAGTTGGAAAAAAAAATCATCCGATTTTGCCGATCGGCCGATTTTCGTGGCAATGATGGGCAAATTGGCCGATTTTTTACCGATAGAAAATCTGCGCATGAGCAGTGACCTGCAAGAGGAAGACAAAAAGAAGAAGAAGATGAGGATGATGAAGAAGAAGATGAGGATGATGATGAAGAAGAAGAGGATGATGAAGAAGAAGAAGATGAGGATGATGATGATGAAGAAGAGGATGATGATGAAGAAGAGAAGAGGATGATGAAGAAGAAGAAGAAGAGGATGATGAAGAAGAAGAAGAGGAGGATGATGAAGAAGAAGAGGATGATGAAGAAGAAGAAGAGGAGGATGATGAAGAAGAAGAAGAGGAGGATGAGAAGAAGAAGAGGATGATGGTGATGAAGAAGAGGATGATGATGATGATGATGATGAAGAAGAGGATGATGATGGTGAAGAGGATGAAGAAGAAGAAGAAGAAGAAGAAGAGGATGATGAAGAAGAGGATGATGATGGTGAAGAAGAGGATGATGATGATGATGATGAAGAAGAGGATGATGATGATGATGAAGAAGAGGGATGATGATGATGATGAAGAAGAAGAAGAGGATGATGATGGTGAAGAAGAAGAAGAGGATGATGATGAAGAAGAGGATGATGATGATGAAGAAGAAGAAGAAGAAAAAGAGGATGATGATGGTGAAGAAGAAAAAGAGGATGATGATGGTGAAGAAGAAGAAGAAGAGGATGATGATGATGAAGAAGAAGAGGGTGATGATGAAGAAGCAGAAGAAGAAGAAGAAGAGAGGGATGATGATGATGAAGAGGATGATGAAGAAGGAAGAAGAGGATGATGATGATGATGATGATGATGATGAAGAGGATGATGATGAAGAAGAGGATGATGATGAAGAAGAAGAGGATGATGATGATGATGAGGATGAAGAAGAGGATGATGATGATGAAGAAGAAGAGAGGATGATGATGGTGAAGAAGAAGAAGAAGAGGATGATGATGAAGAAGAGGATGATGATGATGATGAAGAAGAAGAAGAAGAGAAAAAGAGGATGATGATGATGAGAAGAAAAAAAGAGGATGATGATGGTGAAGAAGAAGAAGAAGAAGAGGATGATGATGAAGAAGAGAGGATGATGATGAAGAAGCAGAAGAAGAAGAAGAGGATGATGATGATGAAGAGGATGATGATGATGATGATGATGAAGAAGAAGAAGAAGAAGAGGATGATGATGAAGAAAGAGGATGATGATGATGAAGAAGAGGATAATGATGATGAAGAAGAAGAGGATGATGATGAAGAAGAGGATGATGATGATGATGAAGAAGAGGATGATGATGATGATGAAGATGATGATGAAGAAGAATAGGAGGATGATGATGATGAAGAAGAAGAGGATGATGATGGTGAAGAAGAAGAGGATGATGATGATGAAGAAGAAGAAGAGAGGATGATGATGAAGAAGAGGATGATGATGATGAAGAAGAGGATGATGATGGTGAAGAAGAAGGAAGAGGATGATGATGGTGGAGAAGAAGAAGAAGAAGAAGAAGAAGAGGATGATGATGGTGAAGAAGAAGAGAAGAAAAAGAGGATGATGATGGTGAAGAAGAAGAAGAGGATGATGAAGAAGAAGAAGAGGATGATGATGGTGAAGAAGAAGAAGAAGAGGATGATGATGGTGAAGAAGAAGAAGAGGATGATGATGATGAAGAAGAAGGAGGATGATGATGATGAAGAAGAAGAAGAAGAAGAAAAAAGAGGATGATGATGGTGAAGAAGAAGAGATGATGATGATGAAGAAGAAGAAGAAGAAGAAGAGGGTGATGATGAAGAGGCAGAAGAAGAAGAAGAGGATGATGATGATGAAGAGGATGATGATGAAGAAGAGGATGATGATGATGAAGAAGAAGAAGAGGATGATGATGAAGAGGATGATGATGGTGAAAAAGAAGAAGAAGAAGAAGAGGATGATGATGATGAAGATGATGATGAAGAAGAAGAAGAAGAAGAAGAGGATGATGATGGTGAAGAAGAGGATGATGATGATGATGAAGAAGAAGAGGATGATGATGAAGAAGAAGAAAAAGAAGAAGAAGAAGTAGGATGAAAAATAAGAGGAATTCCAGTCCAGCAAAAAGTGTCCCTGCAGAGAGCTCCGCTATTTCTTTGACAGTTCTTTGACATTTACAGCAGTTGCAACATTGTATCTATTTGTTTCCAAATAAAAACATCTGTATCCTAAATGGAAACAAATAGATACAATGTTGCAACCGCTGTAAATGTCAAGGAACTGTCAAAGAACTGTCAAAGAAATAGCGGAGCTCTCTGCAGGGACACTTTTTGCCGGCTGTAGACGGGATGAAAATCGGCCGATTTTTTTTTTACCATTGATGGTAACGTCGGCCGCTTGAACGACCGATTTTTTTGTTTTTTAAAAGAAAAATCGGCCGTTTTTCTCCCCGTCTATGGCCTGCATAACAGTTGACTGAGGGGCTGTCTGCTGAAGATCTAGTCTGGTATCATTGGAGAAAGGTGTGGCTTGGAAGTTGGAAGGAGGCAACCAGCTGTCCGCGGACCTTTCATGAGTACAGACTGCTGAGAGATCGTAGAGACTTTTTGGGCTGCTACCACCCCACCCCTCTGGCTGATATCTTGAAGAACGTAGTCTGCCTAGTTCTCTGTAGTTCTCTGCGAAGGGACTCTGCTCTTGTTGCTCTAAAGAAGAAAGCCTGAGTGCTTTTACTGTTCTACTACAAGTCAAGTTCACAGTTTGCTATATGCAAAGAATTCTACTTCAGCCATACAGGAAGAAGTTCATTGTCCTTAATTTGTACATATTTTCTGTTTTTGGAGTATCCCACTCAATTTCCTCATCAATATCCCAATTATTTCAAAAGTAAAAACAACAAAATCAACACCTCTTGAATGGTTATTGAGGAAAAGAGTGACTGTGTTCGTGTGCCTGGCTGCGGGGCAATCTATTGGGAAAGAACCTGGGCAACTTTTCAGTTGCTCCTACATGAGTAAGCACTACATAAATATATTTTGTAGTAGCCACAGAGAATACAAATAAAATTTGTGTGCAAATACATTCAAACGCAGATTTTACCTTGTAAAAGTAGGAGTGACATCATCACTGTGCTGTACATAGCCTGTGTAATGAACAGAGCTTGGGAGGAACCCAAGAGTTCCACCAACTACAGAATGCCTGCAGAAAATCTACATGAGGGGGTTGATACAAGACCAGACACTCTGCAAAAGGGAGAGAGAGCAACAGAGACCAAGCTTTATTATATGGAGATCTTGCACATAGGAAAAGTTTCACGCTGCTTTATTACACAGATCTGAAAGAAATGCACATAGCACACCAAGATTTCAAGTAAAAGTTAACATTTAAACCAACGTCTTTTCTACAGCTTGGGTTTATAGATGGTGGCCTTGATGCAAGCTTCTTCAGCCATTCTCAACCAGGACTGCTCCAGAGGTTGTTAGCGGTTCCTTGAGCTGTGGCTCATTGAACTCTCATTTGATGGTGCCCTTTATAGTTCTGGAGCTAACACCAGTTAGCAGAGCCAGCAGTATGACACCAGAAATCTTTTTAGTTGTCTTCAAAGGCAGCATTTGGGCTGCCACTATGAGGGGAAATTCTTCCAACTGAGCCCTAATCCTAATGAATTGGTTTTAGCAGGGGTTCCCAAAGACCTAGAAAAAGAAATGTAAGGTTCCTCTGTGTAAAAAGGTTCATAAAGGCTGATTTAGACTATATTTGCTTATCCTGGAGTTAAGCTTTAACCACTTGCCTACTGGGCACTTATACCCCCTTCCTTGCAGGCCAATTTTCAGCTTTCAGCGCTGTTGCACTTTGAATGACAATTGCGTGGTCATGTAAGATTGTACCCATATGAAAAAAAAAAAAGTTTCTTTGTTTCTATTATAAAATTTTGCAAACAGGTAATTTTTCTCCTTCACTGATGTGCGTTGATGAGGCAGCAGTGATGGGCACTGATAGGCGGCACTGATGGGCACTGATAGGCAGCACTGAAGGGCACTGATAGGCAGCACTGATAGGCAGCACTAATGAGGTGGCATGGATAGGCGGCACTGATAGGCAGCACTGATAGGCGGCACTGATGATGGGTTCTGATAGTCAGCACTGATAGGCGGCACTGACTGGCGGCACTGCTGGGCATTGACTGGCACAACTGTTGGGCACTAACTGGCACAATTGCTGGGCACTGACTGGTGGCACTGACTGGCGGCACTGCTGGGCTGCACTGATGGGCACTGGTGGTTGGCACTGGTGGCACAGGTGGGTAGCACTGCTGGGCACAGGTGGGTGGCACTGCTGGGCACTGGTGGATGGCACTGGTGGGCACAGGTGGGTGGCACTGCTGGGCACAGGGGGCAGAGCTGGTGGGTGGCACTGCTGGGCACAGGTGGGTGGAGCTGGTGGGTGGCACTGCTGGGCACCGATCATCAGGGCACTGATCATCAGTGCCCTGATGATCAGTGCCGATCCCTGCTCTGACAACTGCCGGTTCTCGGCAGTACTTTCCTCACGCTTTGACAGCGAGAGAAAAGTGCAGCTGAGAACCGGCAATTGCATTTCCCTGTGATCAGAGTGTCATTGGACACGGCTGATCATGTGGTAAAAGGCCGCTGTGATTGGCCTTTTACCACATCACGTGATCAGCTATGTCCGTAGGACACAACAATCACGGAGATTGCCGGGGGCGCCCCCCAGGGGGCGCACAGGAGAGCGCGTTCTGGGAGGACATCATACGACGCTCCCAGAACTGGCCGGCAGCAGTGTAGCCATCATTCGGCTATCTGTGGTCGGCAACTGCTTAATTATTGATGGCCATACTCTATATCTGTGGTTATTGATTAAAATGACTTTTGTCTTATGGCATTAAAGACTTTCAACATACAGTACATACTGTACATTTCAGTGCTAGAAATTGCTAAGTGCTGATGAACACCAGTTTTTAAATGTTTAAAATATCTGAATGTTTTGAGAAGCCATTATTTTATTCTACTTCAAATATTAGCTAGTATAAGAAGAATATGACTGTATTTTTATAACAGTCAGGGCTTCAGCTCTATATAAAGAAGTGCAAGAGAGGACAACATGAACAAAGCAACAGTCATTAGCAGTGCTGGATTTAGCAGTAAGATCTTCGCACCATGTACAGAGGGCAGTGGCAGCTAATAGCAAGCCTGAAGTAATGGAAATTTCACATCCGCTGGAGCCACAAGCAGCAATGTTTAAGAGGGAAGGCTTATTTCCCTTTGACTAAGCTTATCATATAGTTTATTACCTTGGTAAAAACAGGCTAGAGACATGAAATGAGAGTCGTTTTGGTTATCTATGGTAGCAAACAGGTGACCACTATATGACAAATCTTAGGAGGAATATTGATCAGGTACGTTAGAAAATGTATGTATCAACATAGACATTTAGGTCAGTAGGGCTAACCGTGCACAGAGAGCTATGCAGTGCTGAAGGTGATGATATCATACCTGCATGTGTAGTCTTCTGGAAAGAAAAAAACATTACAGAATCAGGGTGTTATCAGAGGTGAAGCAGGATTAGAGCCTGTGTAAATGGGCTTTTGTTCACTTAATTTGGGTTTTACATTCCCATACAAGACTATAGGAGTGCAAAACCCCTTTCAAACAGGTCAGATGCAGGTCAGAAGGAGGTCAATAGTAGGTAAAATGTACCTGTCAATGAATTCTATATGATCTCAATGGTGTCTTAAACTCATGTTAAACTGATGCCATCGACACAAGCCCAAAGCCCATCAACGCAGGTCCTATGTATATTGAATGCAAGAAAAAGTCTACAATTGCAAAATCTTCCACGAGGTCACAAAAAAATCCCATGAAAGTTTGCAAATTGTAACATATGTGTCTACCCAAAAGTTGTCTTTTTTGTTATGGATAGAGTGGGGAAAGTTTAGAACTTTTTAAAGATTTTTACCAATATGTGGAGCTTAGTTAAAGAAATTTCTCCTTAGTGATATTGTGACATCAGGTTCACCAGAGAGGAGGTGAGTGAAAATATCCAACAGGCACCCAGACAGCAATACAAGGCTAACAGGAGTTCTAAATGAGCGCAGAGAGGCCACTCCAGGTGGAAACGTGAACAGTTAATCATGAGCTCACTACTGCTGCCTTGTTAATCATTTGCATGATGAAGAGAACTGAAAAAAATAGGCACTGTGGAAAATGCTCTCAATCAAGCACCTTAATGATTATCTTAATGAATCATTAAGGTGCATCTTTATTAAGTGAGACAAAGTAGCAAATATAATATAACAGTGTGACTCCAAAGGACGGCCCGTCCGCTCTGAAGGGAGCTATGATCAGAGAACGCTTCTGTCGGCTTCGAATCACATGGTGTCAGTGTCCCGGGTGGTGCCATCATGGCAAGCGTAGGGAGAAAGGCAGTGTCCGCTGTCGGCTTCAGCTGGGAGCGTATGCAGGGTTACCAAGACGACATGTTTCGCACAGTTTTGCACTTTGTCAAGTCTCTGGTAACCCTGGCCAGTGACCATTATATAGAAGACCATTAGAGGGAAGGCTGGCTGAGTGTAATTAGCAGGAGATGGGGTTTCCGCTCTGATTTACAGCCCAGAGACTTGACAATGCGCAACTGTGCGAAACATGTCGTCTTGGTAACCCTGCATACGCTCCCAGCTGAAGCCGACGCCGGACACTGCCTTTCGCCCTTCGCTTGCCGTGATGACGCCACCCAGGATGCTGACACCACGTGATTTGAAGCCGACAGGAGCGTTCTCCGATTTTAGCTCCCTTCAGAGCGGACAGGCTGTCCGTTGGAGTCACACTGTTCACTTCAGGCTGGTCAAATTTTATTATATTTGCTACTTTGTCTCATTTAATAAAGATGCACCTTCATTAAGGTGCTTGACTGAGAGCAGTTTCCACAGCGCCTATTCTTTTCAGTTTTCTTAACAGGATTTTGAGCCTTCCCTATTGCTACTAATAAAAAACATTTTCAGTTTGTGTTGCTTGTTTTTTTGAGATTTTCCCTCACTTCCTGTCTGGTTGAACCATTGTCACCTGTACAGTAAGTGAGATAAAATAACAGAGACCTGAATGGCAGTAAAAACAGTAATAAGATGTTAGTAGAATGAAAAAGGGGGCACAATTTATGGCTCACAAACATGTGATTGTGGTTGCCATATTTCTTAAAAAAAAATCTGGATTGTTTATTTCCTGTTACTGTCACGTGGACTTTCAGTGGGAAACATGTGTCTTTCCAGAAGATTCTACAGCACATGACCAGGACTCTCCTCACTGTTGACCGAGATCGGCTTGGCGAGCTCCAGGGCTATGATACAGGAGCTATAATACCGGAGCTCGCTGGCCCTGAATGGTCATGAAGACTCTTGTCTGAAGGGTCCTGGAGAAGGTAGCTAGTGACAGCGAAGAAGGCTGGCTGTGGAGGTGTCTGTCCCTGGCTGAAGAGGAGCCAACACCGGAGATGGAGCCAGAAGACCTCCCTGCAACTCCACGGAGAACCTTGGCTGGTGCATCAGCGGGACTGCCTCTACTAGCAAGTCCCGCCATTGACCAGCACACCCCATCTTGCCAGCATCAGTGTAGCCTCCTGCCGGAGTGCCTTGGGTGCTCGATGGCTTGGGGTCAAAGAGATGACTACCGCTCACTGGAGGAGGACCCAGATGACGTCACCGCTGAACAGTGCACTGGTCAACGGATCAAGAAAAGGGGACAGGTTTTCTCACCATCTCCAATCCACAGCAGCGATGGGCATGGTCAAGGTCAGCGCTCCTCCCTTACCAGACGAGTGGCTCCTACTGCGACTTCCCCAGTCTCCAGGCAACCAGCACCAATATCTAGGCCAGGAATGGGCAAACTATGGCCCGCGGGCCGTATACGGCCCGGCGCACCTTTTAAACCGGCCCGCGGAGCGTGATACAAAAAAAAAACAGCCAGGGCAGGCAAACATTTGCATCATTCAGCGCGCTCAAATTCAATGATTGGCCAGTCTCGCTGCCACTCACATCCTGATAGCCAGTGATTGGCTGTCAGGATGTGTGTGTAGGCGAGGCAGCGTGACGAACGTGAGGGGAGCTAGGCTCCTCTCACAGTCCACCCTGAAGACTGGAACGGCGCGGGAACACGGCGAGAGGAACGCGCGGAGCAAAGGTAAGTAAATTGACACAGGGGGGACTTGGCTTACTACTTGGGGGGGAATAGTACTATGGGGGATGAAATGTTACAAATTTTTAATTTAATTTATATTAATTCCCACATACACATCATTCATCTACTCTTGGTCCGGCCCCCGGGTCCAATATATGAACCCATTGCGGCCCTCAAGTCAAAAAGTTTGCCCACCCCTGATCTAGGCCATCTAGGCTGGACACAGCAACAGCTGCCCAGCTTCCAGTCCTTCAGCCATGCTTGGATGGACCATCCACTCCTTCAGTCCAGCATGTTTCTGCACCAGATGCTCTTCTTCCCCCTGTGCTTCATCATCAGTCTGGTGAATTAGCACAAGTGCGTGTACTTACATCTTTCATTGACTTTTTAACTAAATTTGCAGACATTCTCTCTGCCTCTCCGTTACCAGTGTCTGTGTCATGTCCTATTAATGTATGGTCATCTGTTGATTCTTCTACTGTTTCTCCACAAGTTTCTACTTCTGCCAGTGTTTCTAACCTGTTTAATGCACCTGTCCCTAGTATTTCTGTTCATAATTCTGTTCCTGAAACATGTTTTTAAAAAGGTTTTGCCTTGTGAAATGTATCCTTTAGGTTTACATCTATCTAGCGCAAAAATTTGTAAAAGTGATTTTGTTGATTTACTGTCTTTACTTCCTAACGCTAAAGGTCCAACAATGCTAACCTAGTTGCAAAGGACAGTTTTCGACAAAGCCTCCCTTGGCTAGTTCTTCACCTAAACAGAGAGAACGCTCATCTTTTACTTGATGGTTTTTCCTCTGGTTTTAAACTTCATGTCTTTTCTGGTTCTGGTTGCTCTGTAGTTAAAAAATGTAAATCTGTACATGTGCGTAGTGGTTCAGGAAAAAAATAAAGAAATTTCTGTGGATCGGGTAATGAGCCCTTTCTCTTTACCACCTTTTGTTAATTTTTGCATCTCCCCTTTAGGGTTCATTCCCAAAAAAGAGCCTTATTCATCATCTCTCTTTCCCTCAAGGCGCTTCGTTAAAGGATGAAATCGATCCTTATCCTCTGTTACTTACACTACTTTTGATGACACGATTAAACTTGTCAAGCAGTTTGGCCAAGGTGCTTTATTAGCAAAAGCAGACATTCAGTCTGCTTTCAGATTTTTACCTATCGCCCGAGTCTTTTAACTCTTTAGGCTTCTATTTTGATTGTTTTTATTTCTATGATATGTGAACCATATATTAATTTTAAATGCGGGTGGGAGATGTGGGTTAACTGC